TCTAAGGTTTCGGGTTTAGGGTAGGAATTCAAGCTGAAGTTTGCAGAATAGGTACCAGCGCTGAGAATTCCAAGGGTTCACCGATTTCAGTAACATTCCTAGGACGGGCCGATACACCTCTGCCCTTGAGCTGCAACCTTGAACCTGGAATGGGTTTAGGGTCTTGTCCAGTGATTACATATTCATATGCATGTATGGCTATAGAGGGCTACATAGGATTATATATATATATAGAGACATATATACATATATATATATGCATTTTTGGTTGTATTTATATTCGGTTGTATAGGGCTTCGGGGCGATTATCCCAATTATGGAGAACCAAGCGAACAAGAAAATGGAAAATGAAATTGACATTACGACGGTATTTAGGGTTGTAGATCGTGGAGAATCAAATTGAAACAAAATTTGAAACTGACATGGAAACTGGGCTTCCGTGAGAGGTTAGTTCAGGTTTTAGGGTCCCGGAGCAGGATTGTTTGAAAAGAGTTCGATGTCCATTCCACATGATTTGCAGTAGGAGTGCTGCTCTTCCATTCCGACTGCCCGAAAATGATGTTGATGGAGGAAAACCTGCACCACCCCAAGCCCCAGAATTCCTACATCCCCTAATCCCTACAAACCCTATACCCTTAGTAGTTTCGTTTTCTTTTCCATTATCCCCATATTACCCCAACATACTATAGTAGTTTCCATTTTCTTTTCCAGTAGTCCGAGAATTCCTTGGGATGACAGTGCAAAAGAGACTCATTACTATGTAGTATACTGGGGTTATGTAGGGATAATGGAAAACAAAATGGAAACTACATGAAATTACCTAAGTGGTGCAATAATTCCTCCATCCACCATGTGACGACTAGACATCTTGTCAGTCATCCTGGAAATATGATAACCAGTGTATGCTTTTCGTGTACCTGATTCTGAAGAAGCATGGGCATTTCCAAACTTGAACTCCCGTATCTTTGCTACACAGAATCTGTGGAAGTCCAAATTGTGGGTCCCTCTGGTGTCCCGCATTCTTCCATTCCCTGCTAGAAGGACTCCCAAACAAGGACTCCGAATTTTCGAAATGGTCCTTGCGGGAAGAACAAACACAAAAAAGCGGCTCCACATGTTGTAAGGAAGTGCCTTGTCATGGTCAAACGTCTGCACTAAAATCCAAATCAACCGTGCATTCCTACATGCATCATGCCCGACCTCCAGTAAACCCAAAACCCTACAGCGCTACTTCCTCAACCTATCAATCACCCTCAACACTACACCCAAGACTCCAAAACCCGTCTCGTGGCCTCAAAAGGTCCCCAAGGTGCTAAAATTCTAAAAGCTACCCGAACAGCTCCTTGTCTTCGATGACCTTATACAGGACATCGTCGTAGTCTGCCTCAGAGAGCTTAAACGTTAGATTCACAGTTGGGGATGGAGGGGTCTAGGGCTTGGAATTAAACAGCTTGCGATTCCAGACTAGATCTTTGGGCTTCGGCTTGGCGGTCTGCTAACATTATGATTTAGGGCTTAGAGTTCGGCACATGCGACACAAGCAAGTTCAAGGTTGCTGATGTACTGCTGGGACCCAATCTTTTCATTAAAACGGTTTAGGCCAAGTTTAGGCTTCGTGGCTCACGGTTTAGGGGCCTGAAAAATTGTAAGATGGAGCATCAAGTGTGGAAGAGAAAATGGAAAACAAAATTTATACGGTGCTTGCCTTAGGCCTTAGGGTTAGAAAAAGGTTATGATTGGGGTACTGCCCCCCCTCAGTAACAGTTGGATATTTATTATAATACGGTTACATATAGCCCTTAATAGGACCCCTGATATAGACTGTTACTGGGTGGGGGCAGTACCCAAGCTATGATGCATATCTAGGGTTTAGGGTCTTTTTTGAACTGTAAGGACACAAGGGTCATAAGTGAATAGCACTGCCACTTTGCTTCCTCCCAATACCGCTTTAAGCATCCTACATGACTTTAGTATTACTGTATTTCTGCAGGAGTAATCGGATAGCCTGCCTGGTTTGTGGGTCCTTAATCCGAAACCGTAAACCCCTAAACCCAAAGCCCTAAAACCTTATACATCTCGATACTCAGACTTCCATCTTGAACCTGCAAGGGCCCACACCAGCTCGGCTGTCTTGGCCATGAGATCCTGAAAAAGGGGTTTCCCAAAATAGGGGGACCCCAATATAGACCCCAAAATACTATCATCCTTATTATGGCCAAAAAAGGTACCCCTAATTTTGGGAAACCCGCAAATGGGAGTTGACCAAAAAAAAGGATCCGGGTCCCTATGCGTTGTGTCTCAAGGAGATCTTGAGAGCTGCCCATTTTCCCGGAGCCTCAGCACGCAAAATACAACCTTAGAGCTTGGGGTTTCACCCAGATCAATGATTAATAAAACCCCTCCCCTTAATAGGGATTATAATAGGTATCCTAATATTTAGGCCCTTAAAAGGAAGGGGTTTATTATTCATGGGTTTACATTAGGGGCTTGGGGATTTAGGGTTTAGGGTCCTGGGGAGCGCCTGCATGACAAAAGCGAGGACGAGGTACCTTACCTAGCTCATGAGCTTCCTGGGCCTAGAAAGGCTAAACAATTTAATCAAAGAAGGGCTGTATATATACATATACATATATATATATATTAAAGGTTTAGGGTGTATATATGAATAACACCAAAAGGCAGAGGTTATCCACTCAAGTACTACTAAGCCTATAGGACTCAGAACGCAGCCCTTTCAGAAACGAATAAATCACTGAAACGACATGGAACTCAAGCTTGCAGACCACAAGAGATCCACACTAAGAAGTAATAACAGGTAAGGGCACGACTAAAACTCACAAAGCTGTGAAGCCAAACGACCCTGAGGAATCGGAAGAATCATGATATCCGCCGAAGCCTTCTTCATGAAGAAGGGCGGCTGCCTCTGGATGTAGGAAGGTCATGAGTCACAACCGACAAGAATGGTTGATAGTCTGATTAGGTATTAAGTAAGAGTAAGCATGCAGGAAGAACGCGGGGATCATGGGGAAAATGTTGTGGGGAGCATGGGGAGTGAGAAAACTCGCGGATCCTGTAGTAAAGATGCTCCTGCAGGCGAGTCGTTTCGCGAATGTCGCAGGAAGATTCAGACGGGCTGAGTTTAGCAATGTCTCAAACTTGTAGTTCGGGGTCCCCATAAGAACCAACCTGCTACTCTGTGGCATATGCAATAGATTAGGTGCGGTCGCCCCGGATTAGTGAAGACACGGGCTTACATCAGCGAGCATGTGGCACCGACTGGCAGTCCTTGATTGATTGCCACATGGGACATTTCGAGAGATAGGCGTCACCCTTACATACCTGCACATACCTGCAGGCTGTATGGTCCTTAATAGAGGAACCTTGAACAAAGGACCTCTATCTTTTGAGGAGCCCAACATGGTTACGACCCTCGCATAAAGAGACAATCGTGAATGCAAGCACTTGTTCTTACTGGTGGGTAGTAGGAGACCCTATTTTGGCCCCTGTATACTGTACCATGTCTTCCATCCATGTTAACCACCAAAAAGCTTTTGAGACATCGCCGCATGCAGACAAGGAATTCAATCAGTCAGGGTTCCTCGAGCAGATGTTCTGCATCAGGCCCGCCCTCCAGCTTGCGTTCAGCAGCCACGAAGCTCTCTTGAGGATGTCCAAAGAACATTGCCACGTCACCGCTGTCGTCCAGCATCCAAAACTTTGCGCAATTGGCTAAGGCCGACATGAGTCCACAACCTTGCAGGAACCAGTACTTACCCCGAGCCTTTGGAAAGCGTCGCTGGACATGAGGCGGTCTCATCTGGATTTCCCAAGTAGTCACATTCACCAGCATGTATGCCGTGTGCCGGATAACCAAAAGACCCACGAAGTACACCCAAAACAAGTCAAACACAGTTGCAATGAGAACTACAAGCGGTTGTAGCTCAGGCGCAAGGGACCCGCTTGTCAGGGCATGCAGAAGCTCACCGAAGGAGCCATGTGAAATCTCTGGAAACACAGTATCAAACGCATACAAGAAAACTGTGTAGTAGAAGTAGATGATGGTGGTGAAAAGGAGCACGACAAACATATAGAAGGACCGCTGGTTGCCTAAGCCCACACAGTTATCAATCCACGGGCAGTGGTGGTCCATCTTGTCAACGCAGCGGCCAATCTCCTTGCAGTGGTGGGATCGCATCTCACGCCGCGCACGACAAATGATGCACACATGCTTGAACTCGCCTTTGTCCACCAACGAAAGGTACTCGCCACATCCTTCTCCAAGGAGCTGCTCCACTCGCGCACGGCCCAGGCTTTCTCCAGTGGACCTCTCACGCTCATGAAGAGCCTCTGTGGCTCGATTCAGTTGAGCCTGCTGTGTTGCAATGCGCTCCTTGTAGCCTGGAGCAATGAGTGGCTGAGATTCGCCCTTAGCTGGGCTGCGAGGATCGCCCATGCCACAAAGTCTTTCAAGCCGCTTCCTGGCTTCTCTCAAGAGCTGCCTCTGATAGTTGTATTTGTTTTGCTCCAGCTCTAGCTTCATGACTTCTGGTGCCTCACCGTCGCATGTCAGCGTCAGCTGCTGCAACACACTGTCGCAATGAGCCATCTGTGACTCAATTGATTGCTCAACATCAAATGTCTTCTCTGGGTCATTGCCCAGGAGGTGATGCTGCGGGTGTATGGTAGGCGGCCGCAAACAGCCGGGGTCAGAAGAGCAGCACTGAACCCAAAGGAGCAGTGACAAACCCATAAGTACAGACCAGTGCATCACTGCCTCCGGATTTCTAGCTGAAATACCTGGAGCTATGATGAAGGAAAACACCACTATGTTGAAGGCAATGAAGCATATGAACAAATTTGCGAAAGAATTGCGGAACAGGTAAGGCCTGCCCACGAGAAAGTTCATTACCTGGGACTTGTAAAAGGACACCACCATGTGCCTGTTCTTCTTCTGCATGGCAAATTCAATTGGAGTTACCCCATTGCGGTCCGGGACGTCCAGAAGCTTGACAGCCCCGACCTCTATGAGCATGTCTGCAATAAGCTCATGCCCCTTCAGGGCTGCCCAGTGGATTGCTGTCATACCATCACTGTCTCGGTGGGCGATGCTTGCAGATCGGGAGAGCAACCACTGCACGGTCTTCTTGTTCCCATGGTAACATGCCCAGTGAAGGGCGGTTCTGCCATCGTCATCTTGCTCTTCTATACTAACACCTTTCAGGTACAGCCACTCCATGATGAGAGAGTTGTCTTGCTTTGCAGCTACGATGAAAGGGGTGTACCCATCCTTGTCATGAAGTGATAGCAGAGCTCGATTGGCTTGTGTCATTGCATCCAAGCCAGCTACATGGGAAGACATCGCAGCAAAATGTACTGGAGATTCGCCGGAATTATTGACAATGTCGGGGCGCGCGCGCTTCTCTAAAAGTGGGCTGAGCAGGGTGTCCAGTCTGAAATATGCAATCCAGTGTAGTGCCGTATTGCCAAGAGAGTCCTGACCATCCACTCTGTAGCCCCGAGCAAGCATCTCCATCACTGCCTCAGTATTTTGCTGTGCTGCAGCATCAGCAACAGTGACGTATCCACCGCTGCCGCTGCTGCAAGGCATGGGATTGGATCCATAGCTCAACATGCTTGGCTAGACAACGGAATCTAGCCTGCCGAGCTGCTTGATCCATTCAGGCTTCACGCGGGGGTTTCCTAAAATTTGGCGTACCATTTTGGGGGTCCCTATAATGAGGATTATAATATATTGGGGTCTATGATGGGTTCCCCTTATTTATGGAAACTACCATGTGAACCAACCTCATGCCACTTCCGAATTTCAAAGCTGAGGCTACGGAATTTTGAAGCTCAGGTCTCTAAGGCACATGAGCCATTGTCTAAACTCCTAGTATCCCCCTTAATAACCCTCTAGTAGCCCCCTAGAGAATCCCTTATATAATCCCCTTTAAGGAGTTTAGACTATAGCTCATATGCCAAAAGAGTTTGTTGTGTCAGGGCCCAGGCTCTAGCTCCATAAGCTGCTCAGGAAATAGCTGACTACAGGCGCCGTATGTGGTTGCTGAACGAGGGCAATACAAAGATGCTTGCTGAGGTCTACAAAGTACGGACTGCCTGTGATTAGAGGTTTCCCAATGGGCCCCCTGTTGAGGGAGCGGTCGTTATACAAGGAATTCAAGAGATTTGTTAGGTGCCCTACTTCTCGGCATCCCTCAATCAATTCAGGTTGTTTAGGGTAAAACTTACTATAAACATGGTGGAAGCGAGCATCCCCATCCAATACTCAAACTCGTTGCTAGTAGAAAATGCAGGAATAAATCGCTACCGTAAGCCCAGCATTAATCTCCGTTTTCTTGTCCATTCCCTAAACCCTAAACCCTGAATCCTAAACCCTGAGCTTTAAGCCCCAAACCTGAAATCCTCAACCCTAAGCCTTGACCCTCAACCCTAAATTATAGTTTCAGTTCTCTTTTCCATTCATCCTATATAATCCCTATACAAAACCCCATATAATCCCCATCCTAAACCCTAAACCCTAAACCCCAAACAACCCGAAGAATCTCCAAGGCTCGCACAAGGGTGTGTAGCCTCGCTGCGACAGAAATGCCAGGCCTCGAAGACAAGGCATTTTGGCTTAGGAGTTCGCGGCGTTTTTTAAAGGGCTTTGGGGTTTAAGGTTAAGGGGTCAGGGTTGAGGGCTCTGGGGTTTAGGGTTTGGGGCTAAGAGTTGAGGGCTTTGGGGTTTAGGGGTTTAGGGCTCAGGGTTAAGGGCTTTGGGGTTTAAGGCTTTTTTTGCAACACCTTTTTCCATCTGCATGGAATGCCCACATAGGCAGGTGCAAACAATTCCAACAAAGTCCCAGAAAGTTGCAGGCGCCAGGCTCATTATCATCCATCCCATGGAGTGAGGCGGTTTAGGGCTCAGGGTTGAGGGCTCTGGGGTTTAGGGGTTTAGGGCTCAGGGTCGAGGGCTTTGGGGTTTAGGGGTTCAGGGCTCAGGGTCGACGGCTTTGGGGTTTTCGGTTTAGGGGTTGAGGGCTTTGGGGTTTAGGGGTTTAGGGCTCAGAGTTGAGGGTTTTGCGGTTTAAGGTTTAGGGCTCAGGGCTTAGAGCTTTGGGGTTTAAGGTTTAGGGCTCAGGGCTTACAGCTTTGGGGTTTAAGGTTTAGGCTTTAGGGCTTAGGGTGTAGGGTTTACAGGGTTCTTGAAACTAGGGTTGTACACACTCCCCCCGTGCTCGCAGGCATGTTGCCGACCCGCCCAGCCTTGTTGTTGGTTCAGTCCTGAATTCAAGCTATATGTCACAATGTTTAAACTGCACAAACATGTGTAGTTCGTGACTTGCTCAGACCAGGAATCCCATTGTTCCCCCAAACAGCGACTGGCTATTTTGAGATGCCAAATCCCTTAAGGTTCAACGACGCACCGAATTGCAGCGCAAAAACCTCTACAACTTTGGAGACACCCAGTTTCAGTCTTTCAGCTCTTGGGTCTGCTCTTGTGAGCTTGTGAAAACAGAAACCACAGTTTTCAGTCAAGCTTAGGCGGGTTGCAGACGTGTTCTGTCAACGCTTAGGCAGAGGACTCCAATTTATACCCACCATTTCATCCAATGCTGAAATGGGGATGACAGTAGTAGGGTCATGCAGGAATTGTAGTATTCACCGTGGCAAGTCCACAAGGTTGCACTAGAGTCACCTACTAGGAGCGGAATGGCTTGCGATATCGCGGAAGAAATAAGTAGCAAGCTTCCCACACCATGGTTTCTTGGACCCTCCCCAAAACCTTATATGTAACCGCGGCAAGGAGCCCTATAGTAGTTACGTTCCTTTTAAACGGGGCCTTGTTGCGGTTCAATTTTGCTTGAAGAAGAATCGTTGAATGGGTTCAGTGTTGCTTGAAGAAGGGTCTTTGAATGTCTTTGCCAGTCAGTAGGATAATGACCGACTTGGAGTTGATCTGGTTTCGACTTTAGGGGGCTATATTAGGGTTTGCATGTGGGATATGTAGGGGGAGGTGGTATGTAGGGGGCATATCTGGAGTTTAGGATCTAGGGTGCGGAGTTAAGCCAACAGACATAGTGATTGCACTTCACCTGCGTAAACTACGAACGGTATTAGGTCAATCCCCCCAACAGCAATAGCCTCTAAATATGCAGTTTATATAAATCCTTAATATGCCTACAATAATCCTTTATGGTACCCGTTGCTGGGTGGGGGGTTGACCCAATTACAGACCTAAGAACAAAGAATGCTGTAGGAAGACCGGCTTTCTGCTAAAACAGCCCAGCTACACCTTTCAGAGCCCTTCTCGCCCCAACCCGCAGCCCGAAAGCCCTGAATATATGGTTATTTCTAGAAATTAGAGGTACCTATTTGGGGTTCCATATGAGGAGTCTTGTATTTTGGGGGTCTATCTTGGGGTCCCCCTATTCAGGGAAACTGCCATATTTCCCCAGAAAGGATCCTACAACTTCAGCGCCTTCCCTCGCCCTAAATCCTAAACCCTAAACCCTAGAACCCTAAAACCCTAAACCCTAAAACCCCTAAACCCTAAAATCCTAAAACCACAAAACCCAAAAACCCCAAAACCCCTAAACCCCAAAACCCCAAAACCCTAAAACCCTGTCAAACCTTCTGAGGTGCCCACCATAGTAAACCCTAAACTCCTAAAACCCAAAACCCTAAAACCCTGTCAAACGCTCTGAGGTGCCCACCATAGTTGATCAAAGCCTGGTTTAGGAGCACGCCAGGACCGGACAAAAAGTAGCCCCGGTGTCCGGCCACCTGGGGGATCAAGACATCTTGGGGTTTTATTAGGGTTATAGGTTTCTATTAGGGTTATAGGGTTTAGGGTT